ACCGATGATTTTATTCAGGAACGATGAAATGCGATCGGTCGGTCCGTCAACACAACTGATTATAGGCCTGATTTTGTAAGCCTGCGGCAGCAGTGACTGCATGTTTTCAGCAGACAATTTATGGGTTTTAATAAGGCTATAAAATACTGGGCACGTGGGGTTTTCCAGCTTCAGCCTTCTAATGAGTCTTTCATCCAATTTTGCCATCTTTCCTGCTTTGACCCACAAGTTGTTTAGCTTGTGTCTTTGCATACGAAAGGCTTTTTCTGTTGAGCTGCGGTAGACTGTTGTGTCTGTTAGGTAGACTTCTGTGATTTCCCTGTCTAAAGACTGAGATAATATCACCAATTCTCCACCTTTGTCGCTGACAGAAAGGCGTACTTCATTCCGTTTTGTTCTTTCCCGGATTCTGCTAAACCCTTTCCATTGCTCTCATGTCAGGTTGGAGCACTTTTCGCGCATGAATTTATTAAGAGCGTTCAGAACTCCTGCTGGCAAAATTCGGAACTTAATATCTGCTTCCGGAAAGGGATCAGGTTCTTTATAAAATGACTGTGGGAATGGAATAGGTGTTGTAGTACGCTCTAGCCTTTCAACTACCTGTCGCTTTGAGTCGCTTCGTGCTCCCGTTCTCAGTTGGTCCCTGAACTTTTGCAAACCGCATGCAATTTTACGAACGGTAAGCGGGTTGATCGTTTGCGTTAATGAGAACGATGGCCGCAAACTTAGAAAATCCACAGCTTTCGACGAAATTTGTGCATCGCCTACGACAGTGACTCTTGCTGTTTCAGGTATGATGTTTGGCTGATGTGAGTTTTGTTGTTCGGATCGGTTAACAGTGGACGAGAAGTGATCGTTATCAGAATTTCTTACCCGTTGTGCGTCCCTCAGGGAATCTCCCATGTCCGACTTTCGATTAACCTCGGCATATTGAAACAACTTCGTCGTAAATTGTATTAGCCTTCGAGGTTTTTAAAACAACACTTTATCCACACGGCTTACGTTTCGGCAATATCGCCTTCGTCGGGGCCTGTAAGTCGAAACTATATTTGTGATTCGTAGGCCACCATTTCAAATTACAAGAAGAGAACTCTAAAGGAAAGTGAAACAGAAGCGATGAGCTGACCTCAAACCGACTGGAGCTGTTTGTCTGCACCCTGAGCCCAAAGTTCCTCACGGCGCTTTTATATGTGCTGGGATTCAGAGGTCGGGTCAGGGATTGCTCCAGGGGACCTCCCAAGATGTAAACAACTAAACAAGGTGATACGAGGTCAGGTCCCTGCCGATGGTCGCGCATCGCCCCTGGTATTGATTTTTCAACGAGTCTGGGTCTTTTCACCCTCACACCTCACCCGGTGCCCCCGCGGGGTATCGACTGTGTAGATCAAAGCCACACAAGTCTGCGAATTGCGCGAGCTCCCTGGTAATCGCCACGCTCTCGTCCTTCCTGTTAATTTTCGGGTTCTCTGCTGCGATCCACAGTGCCTCCAGAGTCTTTCGCTGAGATGTCATCTTCACGAGACAGTATCGTAACAGAGACCGTCACACCTTCATTCACATGGTGCTGTATCCTGTGATCACCGAGAGAAGTGGACTTTCTCGACTTTTTCAACCCATCCAAATGCTCTTTTATCCTGATGCAGAGTGGTCTTCCTGTTTCCCCTACATATTCCTCCCCACACAGTTGGCATGTTATGAGATATACGACTCCTGAGATCATACAATGGCCTTCCTTTCCGGAAGGGCAAATTACACAGGAGGGCGTTTGGCATCTCCGATCATAGAGACGGTTTCGGACCAACTGTCTTCTGAGGTTCGAGGGGGGAATTTCAACCACTCGCACACGATCCTGGAGATCAGCTTTTCGCAGACAAGCGCGAATGGCAGCGCTCATATCATCTGAAACGAAAGGTACACAGAAGGGTACCTTTGTGCGCTCTTACTCTTGCGCATGTTCCATCCTAGCACGTCTTCTACGCCATGCAGGCTGCCCATCGCAACCATAACCATTCTCCTGCGCAATCTGACGAGCCATTTCCATGGACTCCGCTCTAAAATCGCCTTCAGACGAAACTGCAGAAGCCGTTTTAAACATGTTCTTGACAATGGCAGTTTTCGTCTTCAATGGATGCGCTGAACTGCAATGGACTAGGATATTCTTACTGCTAGGCTTCCGATACCACTTCGTTTTTTGGATACCATGCGAGAATTTTATCTGAACGTTGAGGAAGGCGAACCAATTCTCTGCCGGTTTTTCCCTCGTGAGCTTAATGTGTTCAGACTGTCTATTAAGTAATTCAAAACAGGTGTCTATCTCAGTTTGAGTGGAGCACACGACAAAACAGTCGTCGATATACCGGTAGTAAATTATTGGCCTTCGTTCCAAGACGGGTCTTTCAACTTTCGACATGAACGCTATAGCCAGCGCTGGTGCTAACCTCTGCCCCATAGCTAGTCCTCTCACTTGCTTATAGTATTCATCCGACCACCTAAAGACGTTGCACTTTAGGCTCTCGACGAGCAGCAACATAATGTGCCTAATAGTGAGGCCATACAAATTTAGGCTAGCATGGTGCTCAGACTGGATTTCTAGTACTGCTTGCAATGCGCTTTCCCTTGGTACGTTTGTATATAATGAAGTCACGTCAAATGACTCCATCACATTTCCTCTTTCTAACCTGGCTTCACGTAGTATTCTTAGGAACCCATTAGTGTTTGGTAAGTGTGCTGGGACAAACCGTAATAGCTGTACCAGGAGTAGGTTGAGAAACCAAGCAATCCTAGCCGTAGGGCCACCAACACAACTTATAATGGGGCTTACTTTGAACCTGCTAGGGTCCTCTACATGTGTGCCATCCTGGGGAAGTTTATGAGTTTTAACAAGCAGATACCTCAGGGAATCGTGCTTGGCGCAGAGCGTGGCCTTGGCGTCAGAACGGATAAGATCACACAGGCGTTTCGATTCACCTTCAATCCTTCTCCATAGTTCTTCCAACAGAAGGCGGCGGCAAGCTTCTTTCTTCACACTTCAGCAGCACTGAATACAGTAGATGTTAATTTTCCCTGATAACCACATTGAGTAGCGATCGATAGATGTTCTTGATTCTGGGGTGTTTATCAGGAGTGCCGCACGCTGATCCAAGCTGTTTATTTAGAATGAATCTTGGTAGAATTTCAGTCGCCTTGCATCGTTTTAGAAACAGGAGGGACTGTCGAGTGAGTACCACTTTTTGCCGCAACGATAACGCTTCTCTCACTAGGCGAAACACATAAGGCGGTATATTGACCTATTATATAATATATATTTATTATATAGTAGGTGAAATGGTATAGAAAAGAAAGCTCCAAAAACATCCTCATTCATGCAATGTCGGCACACCCCAAAGCTGTTAAACGCGCTGTATTACGGAACATGTACAGAACGGCTGTGGAGGTGTGCAGCGGTAACGAGGAGCGTTAAGAGTCCAGAAGTTA